ATCAAATTTGTACGTATGTACATAGATGCATTTTGGTTTAAGCGTATCAAAGCGTATTCTTTAAATGTGAATGCTGAAAAACCCCCCAAAAAATAGGAAAATACCGGCTAAAACCGGTTTGGAAAAACCTAGTCAATCAGCCTACTATTTACACTTATCTTAGGATGATTTTCGTGAAGTATTTATATATCAGTTACTGTAAGTCCACATAAAATTTTGATGCTTTTTCAATTTATAGATATTAAATAAAAAACTTAAATATATAAAAGAATGCGGTCAATTTTTCTAAGGACGCAAACGTTCTCTCCGAAGTAGTCCGTGTATTATATATCGCCATTTTTGATTTTAAATATCCTATTCATAGGCGAACGCAGGTGGGGTTTTGGGGTTCAAACAGTGGTCCACGAAATAATATGAGTGCGATATTTTGATCAGTTTTGGCTACTTGTCTTTTGTTTATTTAATGTTTGATATTTTTGTATAAAAGCTACCAAATAAATTCATAATTTCAATCATTGTACAAAAATCCTAAAAATTTTGGAAAATTTCAGAATCTAAAAAAATGTTGATTCGCAGTCTTGTAGCTAATTTAGTTTATTTAATTTTAGTCTAATGAAGTTCAAGTTTTAAACTGCTAAAAATCCCTTTAATTTTTGAAAATTTGAAGTTGTTAAAAAATCCCGCTGATTTCTGAGAATTTTTTTGATTGATGGTGTTTCACGTTTTTTCGACCATTTTCTTTTATATAGAGGACACTGCCAGCGAACAAAATTTTGCAAAAATTAAATGCGTGCCAACAAAAAATTCGGATTAAAAAATTTTAAACTTTGGTGAAAATTTTCAGAATTTTTATAATTTTTATACAAAGTTTTAAATGTAAATTTATATGGTGTTTGCCTTAAAACCAGCTAGGCTTTTATAAAAAATAAAAAAAAAAACATTAAATAAACAAAAGACAAATAGACCCTAGAAAGGATATAAAAAAATTTATTGTTAGACTTTGGATGTTTGGAGTTTTATTGAGTAAACTTGAAAAACCCCCATTATTCTAAATTTTTTCAATTTTGACCACCGTTTACTACAACAATTTCAATGAAAGCTACCATTATTTGCTGTTTTAGGGAACGAATTGATGTCCCATTTATTGAAATTGGATACATATTGGCGAAGTTAGGCAATTTAAGTAGACTTGGGACATTGAGTTTACTGTGTATGTATGTATCTATGCATTAAATTTTCAGATCGCTTGTGCAGTGTGGAGGAGGAATACTTTAATATTTACTAAAAAAATTGGTATTTAAAATGGCCCACATAGCGAAAATTGCCTAATAAAATAGAACAAAATTAATAGGACATCTCTATGGTTTTACTTCAAGAAGACATTTTTCTTGTATCGAGAAGCAAAATCTTATTAAAAAGATCTTTTAGTTATTTTTTAAATGTTTATTAGATTACCGAATTAAGCTAGAAGTAGAAAAAAACCCGCTGACCACATATCGCTATATTTTCATAATCTCTATGGGATTTCCTTAGTTTTCCGTCTTCATTACCCCTTTGGCTAGAAACTTTTCATAGAGATAATCTTTAAGCTACTATAAATTAGGGCTGTGATAGATATTTCAATTTTATAATCCACTTCAGGCTAAATTCTTTTTAACAATTAAAGTTAAAAATTTTTTTTAATATTTTTATTGAGCTTTTTACCACGATTGTTTGTTAGGAAAAACTGAAAAAGCAACAGTCTAAGCGGTAGAAGTTATAGCAGCTATTTCGGAGATCGCCACATCTCTTCATCAGACTTCTTTTTTCTAGACTTCAGCATTTTCATATCTTTTATTATGAAAATAAGCTTTCCAGCATTATCGAGCAACAATCTATCCCTATCTTCAACATAAATGCTAGCCGATGCACTAAACACTATTTCTGAGATCACTGCGAAAGGTGGTGCGTGAGATACTTCGTTGCCAGTTAAAGAAAAATTTTGAAATTTTTTTGCAATTATGTTTCCAACAAATTAAGGGATCTTCTTGTGAAAATAAGCCCATTTTTTTTATCTACCAAGCGTATATGCTTAGCGTCGTCTATTGTTTTTTATTTTTTGTCTTTCACGTTTGTCCTCTATTTCGCAAAAATAGTCGAAAAAACAGGCTTGCGTACGGAAAAAGTTTCATTTTAATGCAGGAGTAATTTATAACTCGGATTTCAGAGGAGAAATTTTGTATGGTTAATCTGTTTTCTTAATTAAGAATTGGAAAGTGAAGAACGTTCGCACTAAAAAACTATCATTTTGTTAATAAAGTTGCATCTTTTGGATGTGCTGTTCATTTGCATAATATGTATTGTGATTTGCCGTCAGTGACTGAATGCCGAACAAACACGCTAGACAGTGCTTCGAAAACAACATGGCCGCCAAAAGGCTGCCACCATCGACCCTTCCCACTGGAAAAACGCTTTATGATACTGACTGGGCTAGGTTAGGTTAATCAGAATTTATGCCACGCAAAGACCATTTGGTCCTTTGCGGTATAAGGATAATTCGAGCCTAATGCTAACTTATGGTAACATTGTATATGATGTCAAAAACTACATACATACATATGTATATCCAATATAAACGACATTTCAAAAGCGCTATATGCAAAAAGTAACTAAAAATGGAAATCTTAGAAATTATTAATTTAGAATTTGAAGAATACCTCATAAAAATTTCAGAGCGGGTCATTTAGTAATTTTTATTTAACAGCTAATTGTTTGTAGCCGTGTCAGCAGCAAGTACGCGATAGCCCGACTCCCGCTTCAAGCGATCGCGACGCACAGTGCACCGATTCCATATAAACAATGGACACAAAAAAGGAGTGGTCGAAATTTGTTGAAACTTTACTGCTAAAAAGATTAGATCACGGTTATTTCAAAAACAAAGTGAACTTCGAAAAAACTGAGGTTTTATATTTTGCTATGCAGGTAAAATAAGGGATAATATTGTTCTCGTGTAATAATTACATGTTCTACAAAACATCGATAAAACAGTCTACAGAAAACAACGCAAATTTTCTAAAATTAAGGAAATAAAACGAAAATATAAATTGACTTGTTGTTTGTTGCGTATTAATAACGATCGTATCTATTTCTTTTCCGGATTTTTTTTCATTCAAAGGCACTGGTTTAATACGAAAAAATACTTATTTTGATACCTAAAATTTTTTAACGCACAGGTATAACGATATACGCTTACAGGAAACTACGTGGAAACACGTTATAAAAATGCATAGACAGTCAAATGCAAAAATAGGGACAATACATTGTGACCTGTTTTGAAAACTTTTATTTTGTTCATTTAATGTTTTATTAAAGCCTAGTTAGTAATATAATAATTAAGCACTTCACAAACTCATATTTGAAACTGTGTAGAAAAGTTCAACAAATTTTCATAACTGTAAGCAAACTTTTTATTCAGGTTGGGCAGTTTTGTAGCCCATTAAATTGTGTTATAATAAAGTGCAAGTTTGAAGAGGCTAAGAAGATTGTGGAACTTAGTAACTTTGTATGGAAGAAAATGCGTGGCACCGTTGCAACTTTGTGGAATTTTTAAGATTTTTGTACAAGGTTAGAAATTTGGATTGACATGCCTTTTGTTAGACCGTATAATTTTGTCGCGGGGTGTACAACAGGTACACATAGTACCATACGTTCTTTTATTTTACTGAAAAAATTTCCAAAAATAACTAATACTCGTACTTAAATTTTTTTTTTAATAAAGATAGTGCGAAACGGAATTCTTTTCGCAGTAATTTACAGTTTTGGTCGAAAAAATACAAGCGTTATGTATCAGCTTATGAACTTAAAGCAAGGACTTATAACTGGTGCAAATTTTTGCATTGTATTAACTGTTTCTTCATCTTCAACAATATATTGTTTAATAATTTTTATCGGAACTCCTTGACGATTTGTTTTTTTGTTTTAACTAAGTTCCTTCGAGATGAAACTAATGGCTCCCTTGCTTGACTAGACCAATTATTTACTCTGCCTGCACAAAATTTGAAATTGTAAGCGTTTTTAAAACTGAATCACCCCGCATTTTAAAAATAAACGAAAGCGTGAACTACTACAATAATATTGGTTTGTTGTTTAGTTTAATGCAATTAATCAATAAACAAATTGTATTGCGAAATTGTATGCTCAAGCTTTCTTCCGTTTTTGTATTGTGTTTAGATGCTGTATAATATTGAAATTGTTGATTCCTTTGCAATCTTTCGAAATTTGTGTACGTTCTGCAGTTTTTGTTGTAAATTCCGTTTTCATTGCTCAGAAAAAAGCCTTCAACTCGATAACATAAGTAGATAATTACGCAACGTTAATTAGCTTTTTATTGTTTTTTTTTGCCCAGATTTAGTAATAGATGGGTGATTAAAAGTCTGATTATGACAACTTAACTTAACTTAACGCAAAGTAGACCTTAAATAATCAAAATGCAACAGATTCGACGTGGCATTAATTTTGTTAAGTTTCGACTGTTCAGTTATAAGCAACATCCATTTAAGAGAATGTTTAAGTGAGAGCCCGTAAGTTACGTTTAGTTGCCATAATCAGACCCTAATATAAAATGACCATCTTCGCATTTCTAACTTAAGTGTAACTAGTAACATGTTCTTCATACATACTTAGTAGGCGCGTTGGTTAGCCTAGAAGTGGAAGTCGCGTGCTTGCAGCTGACCCGGCTATAAACAATTACTTGTTAAACAAGAACTATTGAACGGCCCACTCTGTAATTTTTACGAGATATTTTTCAAACTCTAAGTTCACAAAAAAAGTTGTCTCAGGCAAATCTGTTTTCCAGTTGTAAATATGATATGGAATTACCCATATACTTATAAACGTATGTAGGTATATTAAATTGAGTCTCTTTTAATTCAATATAAAAACTGAATTTTCTCGTATGAATTATGAATCCATGTTTGAAAGTTAAAGCCATGCAATATATGTATATGTATGTACAAATCTAGGCGATGAAGCACCAGTGCCTGAAGACGGCATTAAGCCTACATTTACTGAACGTCCAGTTATACGCCAAAGTGAAGACGGAGGCAATGTAACGTTTGAATGCAGATGTGTCGGAGATCCGAAGCCAACCGTATCGTGGTACGAATTTGTTTTAATATTAAACTTATACGCATAATTACAAATATTGTAACAATGACGCACGCCTTTTAAATAAACAAGTAAGAAATTTGTTTACATAATTTTGTCACTGTAATGTAATTCTGGCGAAGATTCATTTGCCGATTGTCTTTTAAAACATATATTTTGGCAATTGCCATTCTTTCTTAGTCGGTAATGATAAGAGCCTCTATACTGAACTCTAAAATATACTGACATCAGACCATTTCCAAGATTCCCCAAAATTAACCAATCCGCACTTACGATTTTAAGGTGTCGATTAAATATATCGTTTGCATGATTCTTACTTGTTTAGGAGTGCAAGCAAATGCGTATAAAATGTTGTGTACTCTTCGTTTAAAAATTACCCGCGAAAAACTTGTGCATTCTCAAAAAGGTTTCATGGTCAAGAGGAACTCAAGGAAGGCGGAAGATATACAATGTCTTTAACTTTGGATCAAAAACTTTACCACATGGCACGATTAGAAATCAGCAGTGTTATGTCGAGTGACCAAGGAGAATATCGCGCGCGGGCAAGAAATCAGCACGGCGAAGGTGTGGCTACCATCAATCTAAACTTCGAAAGCGGTTCAAAAAAGTAAGAAATCAGTTTTATGTTCCTATAAGTCGAAAAATAGTTTTACACATTTTAATAGTCCCTTTTGTGGATAAAGGTATCTTCTTTGCGCTTACACCTACATACATTACTTAGGGAGTTCATTGATAATTGAAATTGTGGCCATTTGCTAAAAATTATTTTTGCGGTAACAAAGACTTAATCAATGGGAGCCCTAAAAGCGACACTCTATTTTAAACTAAAAAAATTCTGCTTGAATTAACTTGAGTTTTAATTACGTCTTAACAAAATTACCCATCGGTTGAAATAATCAAGAAATACTTCGTTACAATTTTAATTTAATGCAAACCTATTGATTTTTTGAAGAAAAATTCTTATTGATAAATATAAAAAGAAAAACTTATCATAGACAAACATACATTTTTATTTTTTTAGTTTCAGACCTTAAAAATACACAGCACAAAAATTATTGTCCATTGTTTCGAAGACACTATTCGAAATCTCTACCATAATATGATATTGTCAGTACTTGAAGGAACTCGACTTTAATTATTTCGATAGAGGAATACCGATGATTTTTTGCATTGGCAAAAAGAAGTCGCAAAGTTTGTCCACCTTTTTTTGAGCAGAAAATAACTGGTAGTTTCTGCTTTTTATTTCTTACTGCCGGTGTCACGAAAGCAATTTAAGTGAAAATGATTTTTACACCCGAGCGCACTTGTGCACAATGGTATATTAACTTTGTTCGCATAACGGTTGTTTGTAACAGCCAAAACGAATCGAGATAGATATAGACAAATGTATACATAAATGATCAGAATGAAAAGAGAAATCGATTAAGCCATGTCTGTCTGTCTGTCCGTCCGTCTATCCGTGTACACGATAACTCGAGCAAAAATTGAGATATCTCAACGAAATTTGGTACGTAGGTTGCCCTTTGTCCAAGGTAGGTTGGTATTGAAAATGGCCGAAATCGAACTGTAACCACGCCCACTTCCCATATAACGGTATTTTCGAAAAATGCAAAAACTGCGATATTAAATATTAGATGCAAATTGTTGAAAATTAGTTTGTGGAGAAGAATTGTGGTAAAAAATAATATTATTATGAAATTTTTTGAAAATGGGCGTGACCCCGCCCATTTATGATGAAATGCCGTATCTCAGTAGCCGCTTCACCAATTCTTACCAAACTCAGTACGAGCCTTGCCTAGGGCGCTAAGAAATCTGTTGAAAATCTTTGAAATCGGACAATATCCACGTCCACATGCCATATAACGGTAACTTACAGAAACACGAAAACTGCGATAAATCAGTAGCGACTGGAGCTAATTCACTTAAAATCGATGATTACAATAGCCACTTATCAAAAAATTAGAATATTATAAATTTTTGGATAATGGGCGTGGCGCCACCCACTTATGACCACAAATGTGTATCTCGGTAACCGATTTACCAATTTCTACCAAAGTCGGTGCACTTAATAACCTTGGTACGGAAAAGCAATTTGTTTAAAATTATTCAAATCGGACGGTAAATTTCAGAAATACGAAAACTCCGATATTTCAATAACCGAGGACGCTAATTTACTCCAAGTTAATAGTTACAACAATCTCCTAACAATAAATAACTGCTAAAGACTTTTAGGAATTGGGCGTAGTACCGCTCACTTTATAACTACAACGGTATACCTCGGTAACCACTTAATCGATTTGTACCTAACTAGGTTCAATTATATCATTAAGTCTAACTCTGCATATTATCGAAAACATTTGAAATCGATTAAACACCCCTACTTATCATGCAAAAGTAGTTCAGAGACGATATTTGATACCTGCGCCGGATATATAAAGTTAGGTTTTGTCCTACACTACTACTACTGGCTACTAGACATTGATAATAAAATTTTATGTTCCATAATTCTTCCGGTTTTTGAGACCTTTCCTCAGAACTTTCCGGGACTTTTATGGATTTTGTCGGTACCCTTCCGAAAATTTTCAACACATTTAAATTTTAACTAGGCTTTTTATGAATGCTAAAGGAACAAAAACAAATACAAAATTTATCGGTTATTTTCCGGTTTGCCCTTATGCTATAACACATCACGAAAAGAGAAAGGGGTAATCGAAGGGCAACATTTTTTGGTAGAAACGAAAACACCATAAGTTTCGTAGATTAGTAAGCAAGTTATAATCAGCCTCATTGCGAGAGTCGTGCCAAATGCAAGACGTTTTTCGGGAGTCGAATCGTATCGAAAATTTCATGTCATTGCCCAAAATTGGCAGCACTGCATAGTTTCGACGATTTTTTATCGTCGTTTATTTATTTCAGCACGACAGTAGAGAATGCGAATGTTGTCGAGTCTTACAATTTATCCTAATTTACGACTTACGCAATGAGGCTGAATATATTTGGTGTAAAATTTAGGTTAACCGTAACAGCCAAATGATAGAAACTGCCTTTTTTTGTTTAGCAGTATAATGAGAAGCATTTCCAAAGGTTCTCTCCGATTGGCTAAAGGGTTTGGATAAATATTTCAAACCCGATTTAATACTGAATATAAGAAAAGGGTATTCAGCAGGGCTGCAAACTAGGGCTGTTGCGAATGTGGAATTTTAGACATCCGCGGATGAGAATGCGAATGTCAAGTATTTTTAAAAAATAAGTAATTTAGGTTAATGTAGAAATGGAAAAGTTAATAATTTGTAATAACTAATGTTTATTTTATTTATGACTTAAATGTAAAAACTGAAGCATTATATTTAATAAAAATGCAGCATTTTCAGGTTCAGACCTGTTTTCTTAAAGGTTCATAAATCAAACCTGCGAAAAATATTGGCTACACTGACAAAAGAGTTTGATACGTCAACTAAATAAGCTTCTCTCAAGACATGATTTTGTTATAGTAACTTATATGGTTATTGTTACCAAATCATGTGTTGAGAGAAATATATTTAGCTAACTTTTTTCTGAGGGTACAATTTGTCATTTTGTTTGCCAGATATACGTTTTATCAGTGCACTTGCACGTCATTCGCACAAGCTCCGAATTGATTATTGCTAGTCCGAATGCGAATGTTAAAATTGCCGCGGAAACTTCTTGGTTGCGAATACGGATGCGAACATTCGCAACAACCCTGCTGCAAGCCGCTTCAAAAACTTAGTTCAAACCACTTAAAAAAACTTGTACCGGTACAATAAAGGGTTCATGAATGCCCTTGAACCACGGTTCGGTTCGGTTCGGTCCAAATGGTTTAATTTTTTATACTAAGTGATACAAAGTAGAGTCCGACCGATTCCAATTTTTTTCAGGTACCGATGCCGATGCCATTTATCGGCTTATGAAGAAAGAATCGACCGATGCCGATGCCGATTCCATAAAGAATTACAAATAAATGTATTAATTCATGAAACCAGTTACATACATACATATGTATGTATAACAAGTAAGAAAGTCTAAGTTCGGGCGAAGCCGAACATTAAATACCCGGCGCAAGTATTAAATATATGTTTTTTCACCTTTCCGAAACCTTCCGAGAGATGGTAAGCCGAGGTGTATCAATTTTGAGTAAATTAGCGCCTTCAATTTCGAAATATTGAAGTTTCAAGCATTTCTGAAATTTACCGTTATATGAGAAGCGGCCGTTATTTTAGTCCGATTTCAATAATTTTCAACGTTTTGCTTATATGTGGCAAGCACAATAACCACACGGAGTTTGGTACAAATTGGTAGAACGGGTACCGATATACATATATGAGATCATAAGTGGGCGGTGCCACTTCCATTTTCCAAAGTTTTACCATAATCGTATTTCTTGGTAAAGAATTGTTGCAAGCATCAATTTTGAATAAAGTAGCTTCAATATTTACTGATTTATCGAAGATTTTGTATTTCTCTAAATTACCGTTATATGGGATATGGGCGTGGTTATTGTCCGATTTTAAAAAGTTTCGGCGATTTTTTATGCTGTGTCAAGGCCAACAACTGTGCCAGATTTGGAAGAAATAGGTGCAGCGGTTACCAAGATATACACATGTAACCATAAGTAGGCGTGGCTACGCCCATTTTCCAAAAGTTTATAATATTCTTATTTTTCGTCTAAAAATTATTGTAAATATCAATTTTGAGTGAATAATCTCCAGTAGTTACTAAAATATCGCAGTTTTCGTATTTCTGAAAATTACCGTTATATGGGAAGTAGGCGTGGTTAAGGTCCGATTTCGCCCATTTTCAATACCAACCTACCTTGGATTAAGGGAAACCTACATACCAAATTTCGTTGAGATATCTCAATTTTTGCTCGAGTTATCGTGTACACGGACGGACGGACAGACGGACAGACGGACAGGCGGACGGACAGACAGACATGGCTTAATCAATTTCTTTTTTCATCCTGATCATTTATGTATACATTTGTCTATATCTATCTCGATTCGTTTTGGCTGTTACAAACAACCGTTATGTGAACAAAATTAATATACCCTTGTGCACAAGTGCGCTCGGGTATAAAAATATATGTGCTAAAATACACTCTTTTGCACTCAATGCATAAGAACTCATATGCTAGTTATGTAAGTATTTACATACATAGTGGTCCACAAAATAAAACAATTGAGATATTTTGACCGATTTTGGCATTTGTCTTTTGTTTATTTAATGTTTATTATTTTTTTATAAACGTCTAGTTGGTATACAACAAACACCATATAAATTCAGATTTCAAACTGTGTACAAAAATTAGAAAAATTCTGCTTGTTTTCACCAAAATTTCAAACTTTTTAATCAGAATTTTGGTATGCAGTTTTCTAGACCATTTAATTCTATTATAATGAAGTGGAAGTTTCAAGCTGCCGTAAAATCCCGTTGATTTTTAGCAATTGTTTGTTGCTGGCAGTGTCCTCCATATAAAAGAAAATTGTTGAACATAGTTTTGTATGAAAAAAACCTTCAACAAAAAAAATTCATTTTTGGTGAGCTCTCTGCAAATGTTTTTTGATGTTGGCTATTGTCTGTCGCTTCACCCGAACATATGAAAACAATTCCAAATAATGGCAAAGAATCGGCGAAAAAAGGCCGATGCCGATGCTGATGCCAATTAATCGGTCGGACCCTAATACAAATATCTCAAATATATGACAAATTCTGTATATAGAGCACTTAAAGGCTTTGTTATTGAGATCAAATTCAAATATCCACTGGTATCCATTCCTTAAATGAAGACAAACGGCTCTATTATATATGTGGTTTTTAATAGTTATATTATTTAAGGCGGATTCATCGTTTTAGTTCTAAACTAAAATTGAAATTGAGTTCACAACTCAAAAGCGTTAAGAATTTTCTCAGTTGCTCTCCCAGAGAGAGAAACACAACAACAACCACATGGAAGAAAAGTTCTGAACTAAAACGATGCATCTGCCTTTATTATCTAATATTTCAAGTTCACAGTAATGCGAAATTAAAAAAAAAATTTAATCAACTCAAAAAAACCTGCCTCAGAATTTTGAATAGAACTCAAAATCTGGGCTTATGGTTGAAACCCTCAATTTCGAAAGGCTGGGGCAGTCATGCCAAGCGCTGGCGAAACTCCATAAGAAAAAATAATACAAGTTCATTGTTCATAAATTTTTCATAAAAATGTAGTGTATTATAGTATAAAAGAGACCTTAAAAATCCCCATTTCAAACTTTGTACGAAAGTTAGAAAAAAGCCATAAATTTCAACATTTTGTTCATCATCACAATTTTAAACTTTTTAGTCATAATTAATCGAGTAAGCAGATCTTTAGCTCATTCAAATTCAAGTTGAAGTTTAAAGTGTTTTAAAATTCGCAGTAATTTTTGAAATTTCTTTCATATAAAATACATTTCGAGCATACTTTATATGAAAGAATATGCAACTCATGGAATGGCCATCAAACAAAAAAAAATTACCAGGTTGCATTTTTATCGATTTCGGCATTTGAAAATAACAATTGTTCGATTCGAAGCTCAAAAAAAGCCGTGGTTCGGTTCAAAACTGGTTTGCAGTCCTGTTTAGGAATTTAATAAGGTTATTTTTTAATTCTATTATTAGCTACTTGCTACTTGCTAGTAATTAAATACAACACAGTATTTGTATGGGAATGAAATGAAATAAATCTTCACTCAGAAAAATTTGTATTCACTCGGCAGCTTTATACTTTTGTATATACGTATGTAGATGTTTGCCGGAACGCGAAAACCTTAACTTATTTTAAATGCTTTTACCCACCTTTAAAGCAAAAGTTAATGAAATTAAGAAAATGACTAAAAAATTATCAATGCAGAATTCCGGATGGTAAATCGCCTAGATTTCCGAAAAAGCCAACCATACGACAAGAAGAAGATATTTTAATAATGGAATGCATATTAGAGGCACATCCGGTTCCAGACATAACATGGCACTGTGCCGACAAAAAAATTGAAGATTCGAAGCGTACAAAGATGTCGAGAAAGGCAATTTCGAAGGACACATATGTTTTGACATTGGAGATACAAAATCCCACCAAGGACGATGGTGGAAATTATCGGTGCAACGCCGTAAATATGTATGGCGAAAGCAATGCCAATATAGCGCTGAATTTCCAAGGTATATTTTATAATATACATACATAAATATGTAGAGATGCAGATGCATTTACAAACAATGGGTTATATATAAAATGAAGAAAATATACATATACATTACATATATACTAGTTTTAAGCTGTTTTATGCCATGGTTTGGGGTATGGGAAACATACATAAGTATATACTGATTGATGAGAGTACCCCCATTTTTAAGTTTTTTATACCGGATAGTAAGTTAATGTGGTATAAATACATCAGACAACCCGTTAGTTTGAGATAAACATGCTACAAGGATTAATTGAATTTTGAATATTTCCAAGCATGTTGACATTTTAACTGCGTTAGTTTTTTAACAGCGCGTTTTGCTCTCCTCATAAATTCCATTTTTGTAACCATTTCTAATTTACCCATTTATTGATTTTGCGTTGCGCGTACATTATTCATTATCATTTCAAGATATTTATAAGAGAATACCAGTAATATTTAAAACACCAAACCTATGTATACTATGTACATATTTAACCATAAGTATATAACTAATTAGATAGATAGCTCTTATGATAATTTGTATTGTTACAACTATCATCACAAGCAAATCCACAACGCAGTTACCCAGCCAGCAAAATCATCGTAAACAAGCTCGTAATTGGATATTTTCTCGAAGAAAAACCGGATTAAAAATCGTTTATGATAGCCGTTTACGACTCTTTTTCGAGCACTTTTTCGCTTTAAACCTACGAACAGTCGTAAACGGATCGAAAAAGCATTCGTATGCGAATATTTTTACGTCCGTTTTTTAATTGTAAACGAGCCTCGTAAACGATTAATTTACGTTAAAAAAGCGTTTTTCTACCCTGCTTTAATGTTTTTGAATGCTAAAAATAAAGGCAATTAATTAATTCAAATTATTGTAGTTCTGTATAAAAATAAAGGCAATTAATTAATTCAAATTATTGTAGTTCTTTTATTGAATGGAATTATAATTAATAAATATTTATATTGCCGGATCAAAGTATTGGCACAGAGAATTTTTCGGAATGTATGCAAAGTTTTTTACTTGAATTTCTTTTCGCACATTATTTTTTTTAAATACAGTTAGTATGAAGATCTACTTTCAAATCAGATTTTTGAGAAAAATTCTAAGTATGCAGTTTTAAATCCCATTATATTTTAGTATAACATAGTGCAAGCTTGAAGTTGCCAGAAAACTGCGTTGATTTTTGGCAATTTTTTCACGCAGTTTCTTCCATGCAAATTATGTGCGACATTTTTTTTTTGTATGGAAGAAACTGCGAATAAGAAATTGTCAAAAAACAAAGAGGTTCTCTAGCTATTCAAGCGTGCACTTTATTATACTAAAATTAAATGCGCTATAAAACTGCATACTTAAAATTTTTCTAAAAAATCTGATTTGAAAGTAGAACTTCATACTAACTATATTTTTATAAAAAACAATTAGAGAAGAAATCAGAATAAAAAACTTTGCATTCATGGCGAAAAATTCTCTGTGCCAATATTTTTTCCCGGCACTGTATATGTGAAGATATTTTCAGATAAATAAATATTAACAAACTATCTATTAACAAATTAACAATTAAATAAGAGGGGTTTAATATATATTATAAAGTTGCTGAATTTATTTTTTATCTTTTTTGCCGATAGGCCGCCAATTTTTTTTGCCGGTTGTGTGCATATTGGAAGTGCTTCTTTGAAACGGAAATAAAAACTTCTTCGTGGGAGTTAAATTTTTGACGAAAAGCACCTAAGAAAATAAAGTGAAAGATTAAACTCCATTGGAAACCGGAAAATTTAATTAAGTAAAAAGTGGTAATAAATAATATTATGATCCGTACTTCCTATTGCCGCAGTCGTTGCCAAACCAATAGTGCTGCTTTTGGTACCAGTTCCCTTCCACGAGAAAAGTTTTGCTACCTCATCTGTAATAATTTTTTTTTAATGAATCATTTATTGACGCTCGTACGGATAAGGCTTCGGATTTCGCACGCCTTTTTAATTGAGAAGCCATATTATCAATAAAACATTAAGTTCAATAACTGCAAAGACCTAATAAACTAGCAAATTAAAAAAATAAATAACTATAAACTTACGAGATAGGGGAATTAAACGTTTAAATCCTTTAGTGTTACTCCGCGCAGCCTGTGAAAGAGTTGCAAAACTCCTTAAATTAATTTGTATTTTTGAATTACATATGTAGTAGCTACTTACAAGAAGTTTAATTATAAAAGAAAGTGGTAGATCGTCCTTGGCGTTTGCACCAGTCTGCCAATAAATCACATACTTAATAATTTTCTTAAATTGAATATTTAACAAACTACTTATAAAATGTTGTGATTGAAGAAAAATTGTCAACAAAACTAAAATTTTTTCTTGTGCTGACAAATTACTACAAGCCTCTTTCTATTATATTTTTTTTTGTTTTATCGTTTACGAGCTTTTCTGTAACTATTTGGCGATACGAGAATCCCTCGTAAAACATAATGTTCGTAAAATGTACGTTTTCTTGCTGGCTGGGTATGTAGTTAGATACCTGTATATACATACATAAATGTATTTACATATATACATATGTAACTGCATCACATCTAAAGAAAACAAAACTTCTAATTGAATATATTATTCACTGCAAAAAATAAAATAAAATACAACAGGTGCGAACGACGCCAACGGATTTGCGCCATCATTCATCGAGAAACCTCGCATAATTCCAAACGATTCTGGCACACTAATAACAATGAAATGCAGATGCAAAGCGAAACCTGAGCCCACTGTTAGTTGGTATAGAGGTACCCAACTGGTCAGTGAAAGTAAAAAGATCAAAATAAAGTCGGCTGTGATTGCGGAGGACACATTCGAATTAACTTTAGAGATAAAGGTAAGCTTCAAACTCAAAATTAATACAGTATCACCCGGCTAATTGACCCCTGATTTAGTAATAAACTAAATTAAGTGCCGTTTTCACAGTGGGTGATTAACTGAAATTTGGCAGTTAAATTTAAATTTTTGTATTGAAAACCTAAAGTTAACTTCCGGATGAGAGTTAACTCGTCACTGCAAAAACGGCCCTAAGTGACTTCCGAGATTGTACATTACATATATTATTATTATTATTATTATTATTATTATTATTAAGTGACTTCCGAGATTGTACATACATATTAACCTATAACTCGATCAAAAATGAATTTCTCAATTGATATAATCGCAAATAATTCGTCGGATGATTAAACTTCCGATTATCCTTTTGGTATTGGAGACATTTTACCCAAATCTCTGAATACTTGCTTTATTTCAATTCCATCCCTCCGTCATATTCTCCTATAAATAACTCACTTTTTTATATACAGCCCGGTTCACTTGAATATGTACACATTTTTTCCTCAGATCAGAGCTTATATCTGGATTTTTGGGCATCGGAAAAGTTTCTTTTTGATTTCATATTGAGGAATGATCAATTTCAAAGAAAAGTGGTAAAAATGGAGAAATTTATGCTTATTATTTTGATTCACTTGAATACGTACAGTGGCTTTAATACAAGGAAAGGATTATATTGAAGCAACAAAAGCATACCATTCATTTTAATTCTCTATATAACACTTTTAGTATGGATTGTCCGGAAGACAATTCCAGAGTCACTTTGAAAAATGAAGGACATCTCTCTGCTTACCACTTTAATCGCCGGAAAAAACAAATGCAAATCATTACATAGATTGTCTGACACGCAAACTTTGCAGAAAATCCAATTCTAAATATTTTCCATTAAGTTTAGGTGCTGTGAATAGGACGAACGCTGAAAAAATTATGAGTGCTAAACAGTGCGTAATTTCGCTAGCATATTTAAGAACGCGGTGCCAAAATATGCGAAAAATGTTAAAAAAATTTAATATTTTTATTGCATGAACTATTCGTAATTGTGGAAACTTGAAATATTATCTGAACTGCTATAGACTACGAAATAGCGGTTCAGACCACTATACTCTCTTCTTGATCATGGAGGGGAAACAAACAACGTTCGTCCTTTCAAAAATCGTGACAATTATAGTAATCAGCAAAAAAGGCAAAATGAGCTTTGAAAAAAGGCATATATTTTTAATTTTGTTATGTACTTCCTTTATGTACAATGTGCTATATTTATTTTGTGCCGATATTTTAAGACTTCTATCAAAATATTTCGGAAAAATATTAATATTTACGTGAGCTGGACCGGTTTGAAAATACTTTTAAAAATGGAGTTTTTTATGAATAATTATATTTTTATGAAATATTATATTAATAATAATAGTTTCTTAAAGGATTTTTTGGAAAAAAATCCCCCCAGATGACAAAACAGTTTAAGTTTAAAAATGCTACATAAATATATTCAAAAATTGTATCAACGGAATCATAATAATGAGATTTTGATGCTGTTTTTTTACTTTTTTCAAAGATTCGTGTAAGAAAAACTTGAATAACTGCTCCAAAACTTTACCGATATAGACTTATAAGGTATCAGTGCAGAGGTATTTTCTCACCCTTTTTATTTCTTTGCAAAAAAAGCTCATTTACGTCCCAAATTTTTTTTTATCAAATACCAACACATCTTAATTCAACATGGAATGACACGCGTTTACCTTACCTTCCTCTTCCAACTTTGAATGACCTTATTAATTATTAATTAAAAGGGTGAGAAAATACCTTCCCAATGATATCTCATAAGTCTTGGTAATTGGTAAGGTTTTGGCTGAGTTATTCAAGTTTTTCTTAAACCGGTATTTGAAAAAAGTTCAAAAACAGCATCAAAAATCGCATTATTATGATTCCGTATTCATTTTTTTAATACTTTTATGCAAACTTTTTAAGCTTAAACTGTTTAGTCATCTGAGGTAATTTTTTAAAAAAATATTTTAAAAAAAAACTTTTTATTAATAAAAAACTAAATTTTTGGGGGTATTTTCAAATCGGTCCAGCTCACGTAAATCTTAATATTTTTGCGAGATATTTTGGTGGAAGTCTTAAAATATAATAGATTTTATATTTCCAGTGGAAAAACAGTACAGTTTCTTTTTTTGTATGGGGAGTGGTGCAGTCCACTGTACATAAGTTGACTATGATTACTAGGCCGTGCACAATGCCACTAAGTGCATTTTAAAATTTTCAGGCAATAGCCCCATGCGATTATGGATTATATTTTTTGTTGTTTGAAATATTTTATTTTTATCAGTATTTTTCTTTTAATCAAAATATGTTGAAATAAAAGTGAAAATATAAAAAAATATTTTGCCAGAACCACAAATAGGGGTAATATATCACTCGCCAAATTCTAGCGATGCTGACTTTATCAGCTACTTCAGTGAAATTTTAAACAATACTTGCCTAAATGATAACACTATATTTATTGGAGACTTCAATATAAATCTATATAAAGCTACAACTTACAGTAAAAAATTGGTAGAGTTATTTCAGTCCTTCTCAATGGTTCAGAAAATTAATTTTTATACTAGGAAATTGGAAGAGGCCGAAACCATGATTGATTTACTATTTACCAATAGCAACAATATTTCGTGTCAAAGAATGGATATGCATCGGATCTCCGATCATGAGACAATATATGTCAAGATCGAGTTGGAAAAAATCTATAGAATGAGAGCAAACAAATTTATTATATCTTGCGAAAATTACACAAGTGACAATCTTCTTCACCAACTGAGGCAATACAATTACAGGGATTTTTCGAAATTAAGCATCGATGATAAATCGAAGTTTTTAACTAATGTCTTGTCATATTCAATGGGCACTCTAACATACACTAAAGAAATAAGGCTTAAGCTCATGAACAAGTGGTATGATACTGAACTAGCATACCTTAATAAACAAAAGTATAATCGTTACAGGATAGCATTAGAAACAGGGGCCTGGAATGACTATAATACAATCAAACGTAGATATAAGAGGATGGTAAAGGTTAAATACTTGGAGCATAAGATAACAGTTTATATTGGAGATAGCAAATCAATGTGGAAGCATCTAAAAATTGCATAAGTATGTCAAAGCAAATAAACACCATTAATAAAGTGTTAATTCACAACACCTTTTACACAACGGAAAATGATATTGCACAATCACTAAATAACTATCTTATTGACAGCATTATAGAAATTACCTCATTATAGAATTACCTCAAAACCTGATAAAAGAGGATCCTTTACGATTCCAAATTGCACACATAACTTTAAATTTATAGAAATCGAAACCGATGAAGTGCTTGAAATTGTCAGTGGTTTTAAAAACAAAATTGGAGGAAAAAAACTATTATCTGTGGGAGTAATGAAAGACTCTATAACATATACAGGGTACTTTTACACGCAGTTAATTAATGAAAGTCTAAAATATGGTGTTGTTCCTGATCACTGGAAAACATCTGTTGTTGTGCCAATTGAGAAAGTCAAGAACACAATCAGAGCCGACGAGATGAGACCAATTAATACGTTGCCAAGTGATGAAAAAATTCTTGAAACCCTAGTTAAAAAGCAACTAATACAATATTTAGAAACTAATAATATATTAATGCCACAACTGTCTGCTTTTAGGAAAAGGCACTCGTGTGAAACCGCACTAAACTTAGTAATAGCTCGCTGGAAAGAAGAATTGAGCAGAAACAAATACATAATTGCTGTCTTCTTCGATTTAAAGCGTGCATTTGAGACCATAAATCAACAGTTACTTTTAAATAAATTGAGTAATCTATAGAGATACGGGGCGTTGAGCTAAAATGGTTTCAAAGTCTTATTATGAATCGTTACCAGAGAACACAGATTGGACCGTCGGTATCTGACAAAAGAAGTATAGTGGTTGGCCTACCTCAAGGCTCAGTGCTAGCACCTATATTATTTAATATGTACATAAATGATATTGCCAACGGTATTAAATATTGTCATATTAATCTCTTCGCTGATGACACGTTAATCATGTTAAGTAGTGACCATATTACTGATATTGTTTCAAAACTACAAGATGACTTAAATAAAATATGTAATTGGCTATGTTTAAACAAACTTAAAATAAATGTAAGTGAAACCAAATACATACATGATTATATCCAGAAGAAATATTGAAATGCATGAACTTCGTAATTTAAACATAAACCAACAAAAAATAGAAAGGGTGCAGAGCTTACGCACTTGGGTATAAAAATTGATGAGAAGCTACAGTTCAATGATCATATTGACCGCAAGCTAAATAGCAAAAAAATGTTCTTTATGCGACGTACTTGCAAATTACTGAAAAGGAAATATAAAATAATGGTATATGGATCAATAATAAAACCTCTCCTCAATTATCGTCCAAAATTTTTCATCATAATGAATGATAGCCAAATTTATAAATTGCAGAAACAACAGAACCAAGCAATGAGATTCATTCTTCGAAAACGATATGACACGCCCATTAGAGACATGTTATCAGCCCTTGGTTGGCTAAATGTGAAACAACAGAACTTTTATTATACGATGAAATTTGTTAAAAACATTATTGAAGATAATTTACCAGAATACCTAAAGATTTACTTAAAGTATGGCAGCAATGTGCACAACAAAGATACACGTAAGAAAAATGACTTCAATCTACCTATGTTAAAAAGCGAATCTAATAAATGTAATCTTTACTACAAGGATCTTAAATGTTATAATGAATTACCAAATACTGCCAAGCAATGTAAAAACATCAATGAGTTTAAAAGAAAGTTGTTTGAATATTGTAAAACTATCCTAATATAATGTAATGTATTACTTTTGTACTTCTGTTTTCCGTTTGGGGGGGTGAAATAACACAAACGGCAATAACACAAAATTTGCTTTATTTCACTTTTAAATGGGAAATAATACCAAAATCTGAGTTTTGCTTTATTTCCAACAAAGGTTGGAAATAAAACAAATTTTGCCTTATTTCCCATTGCTTATTTATACTATTTGTAAAAAAAAACACAGTTTACTGACAGAAGCAAAAAGAACTTTGTTTATTCCAAAAATACAGTTAAACCAAGGCACATTGCACAGGTAATATCAGTATAGCAGCTGATTTGATTTATTTCAAATTATTTGTTCTCGAAAATGTCAAATATTTAACATTTCTTCTCAAAAAAATTCTAAATTGTTAAAATCTATTTGCATGTGAAACATTTTCCATACAAAACCAGCGATTAAATAGCAGCTTTTGGAACGCTCGACCATCTCAGCAGCACAACCGCTGATTACTGGACCTGGCACAGGATGGTGGATCAATGCTTCGAGAAGCGAACCAATTTACTAAGAAAGAAAGCTGCAACAATTTTCATTTTTTCAATTTAAATTTTTTACCTTTTTCGTATTTCGCATGGCACGCTTTGATGTAGGAGAAAAAAATCAGAACAGTTTTTGGCACCTTCGATACCAGAAGCAACAACAAAATACAGGCAAATGTTGTTTTTGCTCAAATGCTCTAAACCTGTTTGATAGGCCTTGAATTAAACAAAAAATTTGATATAATTCATATGAAGAAAGTAATATTCACAAAATATTTTTACTTATGAAAAGTCTTACAAAATATAGGAAAAGCATCGTCTTTAAAAACTGCTCCGCATATTGGACATAGCGCTTTTGTATCAATTTATTCTGCATGCTTTTTAATATGTTGTTAAAAACATTGCTGGAAAGCCTTAAAATGTTTGCATGGAACCATGTCGCAATAAACAGATGAAGTAATAAAACGGATTTCTCGCTTTATTTTCTGACATTCGGCTGCCTTATAGTCACATTTTATAGGCAAATTTTCAAATAAAGCAGTGGCACCTGGTAAATTCCACTATGGGTGGGATGCAGCATGCAATAACACCATACACAATAATTCCCATTACTTGGACATTAAAAAGCAGTTTCAGAAGTGAACTAGTGTTATTTTATAATTTTTCCTTTTTCAAAACGGTTATAATGCCACCAGTACATAATTGCGAAAGGAGGGGAGGGGCGGAGGACGCGAGCGCGTCGTCGAACGCGGCGCGGGGTGGTGCGGGGTGGCGCGGGGCGTCGCGCCAACGCGGACCGCCGCGACGCCGGGCACTTTCAAAATTGTATACTTACAAATCCGTCCATTTAACTTGTTCATGTACTACTTTTTGTCAAATGTAACTGGGTGACTACGTACATATGTGCACTAGTTTGCTTTATTACTCAAATTGTTAAGTATAAAAGTTGGTCTTATTGCTCAACGAGAAATGAAATAAAGCAAATTTGTGTTATTTCACATTCAAATGGGAAATAACACAAATTTGCGTTATTGCCGTTTGTGTTATTTCACCCCCCCCCTTCCGTTTACTATTGTTCCGTAATTTCAACTTGTAATTGCCATGTATGAATGCCATTCCAAATGATTTTATTAGGCTTAAGCAATGTAATATTAAATAACTAGGTTAAGTCTATCTTCATATATTGTAATGAATTAGGCTCAAGAGAGCTGTAAGAAATAAATAATAATAAATAATAATCTGCTTAGGTAAGCCGTTGCCTTTGCTGCTTGAGGTGGCGGTAATTTCAGTTTGTATTATGACACTCTTGCAGCAAATGAGCGATATTAATTCGTTAGTTCCTGGATTTTACTTCAGTGCTCCTAAATATGTATACTCGATCCGAAAGTGTTAGATAGTAGGAGTTCATATTCGTATCGAATACAACTTTCGAGTAGTTTAAAGTTTCGAATCTAATTACATAGTAACCCCCCAGATATAAGATTGTATCATGAGCAAAAAATGTGAACCTATTCAAGTGAATCGGGCTGTACATATGTACATACGTATATGAGTGTCTTATTGAATACGCATATGTGTAAAAAACGCAGTGGTCAGAGTTAATTTGGTTGGTCCGCTATTTCAGTAATCGTGGGCTTCAAAGAGCCCATGTCCTTACATTTGTTCTTGCTATTCATACGCATTTTAACCGAATGCTTAGTCGTTTTTACAGCTAGGCTTATTTAGAATACGCTTAATTTCTTCTAACGTTGTTTTGAAAGATGGGTAACAAGAAAGGAATCTTGAAAATGTAATTCACAAACTTTATCGGACCGAGTACCGAAGTCCTTTGTATTTATTTTATGCTTTTTTCTTCCATACAGGATCCTGGAGCTGCAGACGGTGGAACTTACCGATGTAACGTTAAAAACGAATATGGAGAATCGAATGCGAATCTTAACTTGAATATCGAGGCTGAACCAGAGCCGGAAGGCGAAGGTCCCACGTTTGTGGAGAAACCACGTATAGTATCTGAAAATAAAGGAAAGCTCGTTATTATGGAATGCAAGGTCAAAGCCGACCCAAAGCCAGATATAATTTGGTATCGCAATGGTGAGGTCATACAAGAAAGCAGTAAGATCAAAATGTTTATGGAGCAACGGGGCGATCAGTACTACATTAAATTAGAGCTTATCGATCCACAACTGGAGGACTCAGGTCTTTACAAATGCAACATTAAAAATACATTGGGCGAACTAAATGCGAATCTCACATTAAACATTGAAAGTAAGTTGCTTTTTATATGACAATGATAAGCGCCGTTGGGCTTGTTTTTACATAGCTAATTACTAAATATTTTAATTTGCATTCTTCCGAAATATCTCGCAGTTGTTCCTGTTATTAAGGATAAGCCGAAAATCATAAAGATCATTAAGAAGCGTACCGTAGTCATTGAATGCACAGTAGCATCTAAATTCGAGCCGAAATGTACTTGGTACAAAGAAGAGACTGCTGTCAAAGAAACCAAACGCCACGTATACCTAGTTGAACAAACCAAGGAAGGCGAATTTGCCGTTAAATTGGAAATAAATGAAGTCGAAGAGACTGACAAGGGTTCTTACAAATTGATTGCTAGCAACGAAAAGGGCGAGGCGGTTTCTCAAGTTGTACAGCTCATGGACATACCCGAGGAAGAGCGTAAACCTACTAAACCTGAACTTGTGCGAAAGCTTACCGACCAGACTGTAACAGAAACCAAGTCATTTGAACTGCATATTACACTGAATCAAAGTGATCGCAAGTGCAAGATTGAATGGTACAAGGGCAGCACACTGATCAAAGATACCAGGGACATAACAACCACATTTGATGGCACAAATGCGAGGCTTACATTCAGCACAGCACGCCAGGAGCATTCCAGCACCTACAAGGTGGTGATAATCAATGAAGCTGGCAAAGCCGAGTCATCTTGTAAGATCACCGTCGCTAAAAAGGACGTAAAGAAAAAAGACATCGAAAAGGAATTAGAGGAGAAACGAAAGGTAAAAAATCGCTCATAACTGCGGTGCATGTCCCACGTGATACAACAAAATGAAGTTACTACGTTTTGTTGTGTCACGGGAGCACTTATATTATGTGTTAAATTAGCTAGGATCTCTTCGTTTGAGAATGCGGAGTTTATTTTGCCCTGAACAGATTAGGCTTTATATTGGCAGCATAAATCCAAACTTGTAAATATGTTGGATTCAAAGTACGACGCATTTAGTGTTTTGAGAAGAGGTAAAACTGCTTGTTCAGTTAGCTATGATGTTTAGTTTAAAGTCGAGCTGAAAGTGAAAGGGTGTTAGTAACCCACTCATATCACTCGAGAGATAGTTGCAAGTCTTTATTTTTACACTCTTGCTTTTATGCGTTCCTGAATTAGCACATTGGATCTACTACGTCGCGACGCCACTTAAATATGAATGTACTATATGAAAATGTAGTAAAAATCGCTGTTAGTAAATATTCAGTCGTGTTTAGAACGAAAGATGGCCATAAGACTGAAAGTTCAAAATCGAATGCATTTTGAAACACCTTAGCACATTGTCTCTTAAATATGGAATACACTTTTCTTTATATATTTACTGTCATCCGAGTGGTTTTATAGGTTCATAGCGTATAAGTTTGTGACTAAAATTGGCACACTTTTGTATTTGTTATCTAATCTGCCAATTATTTCTTTACTCTTGTGATACTTGCAAATAGGGATGGAAATTAAAACTTACTAATCGATTAACGGATAAACGTTAAATTGATAGGCAAATAAATTGCTGTAATTAATTACAAGATATTAATTGATCGACTGCCTTTTGGTAACTTTTGTTTTAATGATAAATTAAAGAAAGAACTTGTTGACAATGAATTTTTTGTTTTAAATACAATATGTAGAATAACTCACTTACTGTTTAGCTAAGGGAGAGCGGGGGACCAGGTTTAGCGTTGGGCTTGAGGTAGAGGATGTAGGGATTACCTTTTGATGCGTGGGTATGTTCGAGTATCAAGCTCAATGGACCCACGTGATCTTTAGGAGCACATCAAGTCAACGGGAAGGCAGGTGAAGTTGTGGCGCAAGATATGGCCCTTTTACCATTTGTTTATTGGAGGAGTCATGCTCCAGCCGCCGCAAAGTGTGCGTTTCGAACACTCTATCCAAATTATTCGTGGCGCTTTCAGTAGAGGCAACATTTTGATATCAATCAAATTTGGTTCGAAAGCTAAAGTAAGTAATTGTATTTCAAGAGAAAATATTGCCATTAAACTACAGTTACTTTTCGATCTTAAAAAAATAGGTCAAAGGTATTGTAGTACACATATTAGCAAAAAAAATATTGTTTAATGTTCTGCTATACTAATCTGGTTGGTTTTGGGACGAGAAATACGATTCACTGTTTAAAATAGGAAAAAATCAGCTCTCGTTAAAAAAACTCATGATCTATTGAAGCATTCCATGCGCACGTACAGACAAATTCAACTAATTTTCTGTTTTCAGTGGCATCGTGTTTCTGGTCCCAAAATCAATAAGTTTGATCATAATAGTATATTACATTTTGTTTGGGATGAATTCCGGCACTTTTCCGAGGAGCACTATTTTTGACCTTTTTAATGGTTAAAAAGTAATTGTGGCTCAATGGCAATATTTTTACTTATTAATTGCATTAGCTTTCAAACTCACTTTAATCGATCTGAAATCATTGTTTATATTGAAAGCGCTACGATTAATTCCCATAGAGTGTTCAACAAGTACATTGTGCGTCTTATAGCCCGACCATAATGAAAACGACGAGCTACGGACCACAGACAGATAAGGTTCGTCCTCTTCTTCCATGCCAAACTAATTCAAATTCATGATGTCGCTGACGCGTTCAAAAAAATCATGTTGTTATCGACAAAGCGTTTAGATAATGAAGATAACAAATTGGAAGCTGTGGTTCGTCGTTTTAAATGTGTTCAGAACTTTATGTTGCTGATGTATATATTCAAAGGGAGGGCCAATGGCTACCATAAAGCGGTCACCTCTTCATGAATCCATGAACAGCCTCTTTTCAGCCTGTAAGCCGTCGTTTACTACCGGGTTACGAAATTAATCCGGGAGTGGAGTGTGGACGACTCGCACTTACTTTAGTACGGGATATTCAATACAAGTGCATGTGTGATTCGCCGCACTTAATTTAATACTGGAAATGAACAAGTCACATAAATACTTAAAATTTTTAATTAAAAATAGTTTGTATAAAAGTATTTTTAAAAGTTTTTGGTGGTCAACCTACTTCGGTTTTCAGAAAATATTGCCCCAGCTTCAGAAAACATACATTTCGCGGACACTGTTGTACCAATCAACTGATTATATTTGTGGGAAAGCAAGTAAAGGTTTTGAATATACCACTCTGGTTTCATCAAACAAAAAGAAACTCAGTTCGTAACATGAAATACATGGAAAACTTTGAGCGCTTTGAGCGACCTCTAAATATTTTTTGATTTCAAAATAAAAAATAGGGATATATTTTTTCGGTATAGAACAATCCTAGGAGGGAGCATAAAGATTCCGACTTTACTCTCATGCATTTTTGAAGCACCCAGTGCACTTATTTATACTAGCAGTGATGTTGCTTTTGTAAAATACAGTGTTGTCCCACTCACAAACAGAGTTTCCATTGTGGGAAATTTTGAAAGTTGATTTAGTACGATTTAGATATAAAAAAATAAAAGGGCTGTTCACGATTTTATGCATATGCTCTTGCATTTGCATATTCGTTGCTTTTGTAAATTTACAACAATAAAATGAACACGGTTCCACCTGCAAATCCAAGACCATTTTCACAACATCCTGAACAGCCCTAATGTATGTGTGCTCACATACATATGGAATAGTAGCTTGAGTCGGGAGGCTCTAAAAGAAATTTTTTGATGACACTAAATGAGAATATTGACTTGCTAACATCAGAATTATTCCTTTCAGGATTATTTGCCAAGAATTCTTCAATGGCTTGGCATCAGTGCGTCATTCGCAATCGTACCCTGCAATATTATACGATTGAATTGACTTATGAAAAGAAATACTCGATGGTTTATAATAACTCATCTTCATAAGGAGAGGAAAATTAAGCAGTTAGTTTAGGTACTGAACAAAATTCTTGCTTAAAGTAATGTATACAGGCTTCTCAAAGAAGCCTATAAATTACCTTTTTAAGCCAACAACGCTTGTAAAACTAGAGCACCATGCGGTATGAGTGACGTGAAGCTGTTGAAGGAGCCAGGGTGTATGAGCGACGCACAGTGTATTTGCGTGGCCGGTCAAAATTATTGGGTGTGTTTTTGTAGTAATCAATAAAATAAAGCGCAGAACTTTACCATAATTAGGCGTTTATATGAGAAAAGTTACTAATTACACTTATCTTAAAATCATTTTCGCAACATATTTACTATCCATCCGATACCAAAAGCCCACAAAAAAGCTTTCAGGTGGTGGGCATCAGTTTGCCCGCGGGCAAAACTCGTTCAAGCTTTCTATATTAAATGTATACAAATGTATACAACGCCATGACGCCACTACAGTAAACCAATTTTTTAATCAGAATTTTAATCAGATCATTTGTTTGGCGTTTTTTATTTCCATATAAATACATATATAGTAGAGAACTATATGAGTCAAAGTTTTTAAATCAAAGCGAACACAGGTTGCTGCTGCATCCCAAAAAAGATTTTTTTTTTGAAAAAACAGTATGTTTTAATGGTTGCATTTTCTTAAATAATGCATTTTTTGCAAATGCACAAAATCAATTTTTAATTCTTTGATAATGGTGTCAGACCTGCGGCATTCATTCGAATTTTAAAAATGAGGTATTAAATAAAAAGGCCTGAATAGAGTTGTCGCCTGTTAAAAATTAAATTAAAGTTGTTTAAAAAGTTAAATAAATGTTTAAAATATGGATATCAATCGAATTGGGTTTGAACAGGCCTCCCTAACTTCCTATAGGAGAGTCGCCACTTGTTTTAAAAATCAAATTTCATTTGAATTGCGGAAATTAGGTAATTGAAATATGTACATATCACCATGCGGGAGTCGGATGAAAGAGGTTTAAGAAGGATTTATCTTGCAAATGTATTAAAGCGGGTTGCCACCTGTTTGTACAGTCGAATTGAATTATACAAAATTTATGTGTATATATGAAATATTGTAATATTTGTGTCAAACGAAATGGTTACGACATTCTTATTTTGTTAATATGTATATATATATGTTTTGTTAATATGTATATATATACACTATATGTATATATATATTACCAATGAGTGATTTGTTTTGATGACATTATTATTATATTACTGGACTCTTAAATTAACTTTAAAGAGTCAGTAAATTTGTTTTGCTAAATTTGTAACATTTTTGACTAGTAATTTAATTTAATATTTTTTAAATAAGTGGCAGCCTTTCTACATCTAGTTCCTTTATATTTTAATATCTATATCATTTGACTTATTTAATAATTTTGATACAATTTTTTAACAGGTGGTAACCTTTTAAAAAAAACTTTATTGCACTTCAGTAGGCAGATAATATGAAACCTCTATTTGAAAATCGAACGAACTATATATGTATATGTAGATACCTATGTAAATGCTATAATTTTTCAACTTCAAACTGCATTTACACTGAAAGTATGAAAGTTATCAAAAAACAAATTGATTTTTTGAATTAAGCATTCCCAAATTCACCACGAAACAAATTTAAATCCGTCAATAATTCTATTTTTGCCACATTTTATACGCTTCCCACTGCGTGACGTTTTGAACATTCGAGTCGTATGCCATATCTACTTGTGGGATTCATGAAACGTCGCAAAGTTGTTGCAAATGTTGTATTCGTTTCAAAATTTGCCACCTTGCGACACAGCTGAATACTTTTGGGTGGAGAATTTCTTGCAACAAAATTGCGACATTGCCATAGTATTTGAGCTGGCAATCATTGCAAAGTCAAAGTTGCGAAACACGTGTTTTTTTATTGTCTTCGAATACTTCAAGAAAAAGTATAACAGTTAAGGTTGATTCGAAACATAATTGTAAAAACGTTTCTTTTTCTCTAACGCGCGGCATTTTTTTTTTTTTAATTTTACATCTGCAATCTGCAGTTGCGATTGGTCGTTCATACAACTTTGTTCGTAACATTGCGCCAAAAATGCCACTTTGCGAGGTTTTATGAATCGCACTACTGTTTCTTCTTTTTTCTACACCATGCGCATATTTTTTTAACAGAATGGGAAAGCTTTAAATATTACTATGCACATGTACATACCTTTGAAGATGTGAGTTGTGAACCAGACTTGGTTTACAAAACTCACCGCCCACACTATAATATACGTTTGTAATTATATATTTTTGCACATTAGTAAAATATTTTTGCCTAAATATGTACACACTCTCTTAAATTCACTTACACTTTACACCATAAATTAAAAATTTTTGAACTATAAAGGAAGAGGAAGAAGCTGCTATAGAAAAAGAGGAAGAAGAAAAACCGAAAAAGTCAGAGGAGAAGAAGGTGAAAGAAGAAAAGGAAACGAAGGAGGAGGCGAAGGAAAAGATTGAGGAATCAAAGAAGGTTGAAGAAAAGAAGAAATCTGATGAAGACAAGAAGAAAATAAAAGATGAAAAGAAGCCCGAAGAAAAAAAGAATATTGATGAATTGGCAAAGAAGAAGGAAGAAGAAAATAAGAAAATCGCAGAGCCCAAACAAGAAGCTCCACAAGAAAATGTAAAGAAAGCGCCTACCAAACAAGAAAAGGAGAAAAAGCCAAAAGTAACAGAAGAGCCCAAGGAAGAGGTAAGAAATGTCTGTCAATGGAAACAATTTGCTTCTTTGCTTATACCATCAGCTGCGCAGTTTAATAATGAATGCTTAACAAGCCGCTCCCACGATCTTTCATTGCGCTCTTCAGAGTCTGCGCGTTTTCCCCAGCTTCCACTAAGGCTGGCGCGCAACCAGCAACAACCTGAACAAATAATTCCAAAGCACTTACGATTTACATACACATTTTACGCTTGACGTACATACTCAAAACCAAATACAACATAACTAGATTTCTAACAGAGCATATACATTCGTACCAGGGATGGTGCGAATATTTGCATTCGTTATAACGAATGCGAATGCAAATATTCGCACCATTTTACAAATTCCCATTCGACATCAAATGATACGAATGTTTTGCGAATGCGAATGTGTACATCGGTAGAGAGTCCACTCTAATATTGTTGAAATGGCTCTAACCGCACAATTCTGTGTTTTCTTGATAAATTATTTGTAAAGAAATCTTATCAAGGTTTTTTATATACTTATAAAATAAGAAATTAAAAGCAAAAAGGTTTTTGAGTGCCGTAGCCGAGTAGGTATACATAGATGTCGGCTATAAATTTTGTGTGTCGCAGGTTAAAATACCGGCACATGCAGTATTTAAATGATAGAAACAAATTTTTTAATATAC